TCCCACAGGAAGAGTCAGAACAATAGTTGTCCCACTGTTCTTCATTCTAGCCCAAGCTGCCTATTGCTAACACCTCAGACATGAAACGATAGGGTTGTTAATTCCTTGTAAATATGGTTAAATTCAAATTTCATTAGGCACTTCTAACTTCACAGCAGCATCTCTGTCAAATAAAGAGGCTCTAGACGTTCACCTGCTGAATTATCTACTTTTGCCCTTTGCCAGGGTCAGCTTAAAATGTGAAATGCTGAAGGTCAGCATCATAGCTGATCGTGCTGTACCCTTTGAGTGCAAAACCAATTTTGTAAATACTTAAAAAATTTTCTTGTTTCTCTAATCCCGTATCTATGCTGATTGTCTAGTTGAAAGTGTTCTGCTTTTATTTATTTAGAAAAACCTATGCTTGGCCCCTACCCTGACTTACCCTTATCCCTCCCATAGTCTCTGATTGCACCCAAAATAGTTTTTATACCCTTCCTTCCTTCCTTCCCTGCAGCACTTCACAAGGCTCCTCCGCCAGGCTGGTGAAGGACAACTGAGTCTGCTCTGCCGCGTCTCTCCCAGCAGGTGTCAGTGCCCTTCTGTACCTGCCACCTGAATCAGAGGTGGCTCCTTGCCAGGTTTGCTCTTTTGGCATTTTTCTTGATGTCAGAGAGCCTGAAAGAGAGGAGCTTTTCTATCTTACACCCCGGCAAGATCAATGCCGGGTCAGAATTATGTTGCAGGAGGGGGATCTGTCTCAGGGCTATACCCCTCATCTTTGGGAATTTCTATGCCTCTCAAAAAAGGCTGAAGTTAACTGAAGTATTCAAAATTATAAATTTTTCTTGCCAGGAAATTCTCTTCTGTTCATTCTGTCCCTCTTGCCTATGCTGAAGGCCACTGTTCACAGGCAAAACAGGGAATGGGGAAACATTGTTTTTTAAAGCAAATCAGGACACGTCTCTGCACCACCAAATCCTCACGCACACTAACTTCTGCACAAGTCCTTCAGGCTCTGTTTAAAGCTTCTGAGCAGTCAGGGGAGACGGAAAGGGGTGGAGCGTTTGTTTCATTTTCAACTCCAGCAGCTATTTCAAGGGCACTGGACAAGCCAGGTTAGAAAACACGTGCCTCGGGAAGCAAGGTACCACATCCTCTTTGCATCTCCTTTCTAGGATTGCTGGCCAGAAACCCATGGTCAGCCATGCCCACAGTCGTCAGATGGTTCTTTTCCACAGTATTCTGGCTGTAGATTGGTCCACTTTATAGTCTGCTTTCACAACCTCACTCCATTTTATTTCTAAGTAATAAGGAAGAGATAATCCAGTCATAAACTGTTTGTTACAACACTGTCCAAAAATCACTTCTGCACTGCAATTTGGCTCTAATTTCCATGTAGGAAGTTTGAAACTTTATAGATAATTCATTGTTTAAAGTTAAGCAGTCTTAATCTGATCCTTTTAAGTGTTTCTGATTGTAAATCAGTATTAGTCAAGTTTCCTCATTTTTGAAAGCTTTGCTAATCTAAATGCTAGTTGTCATGGAATTTTGCAAGCCACAAATACACTTCTCACAGGTTTTCAAACTTCTATTAAGCTTCTCTATCACTCTTTTTAGCCCTTGAAGATATGCCAAAACACAATGTTAAATTATGTAGCTTGTGAGGACTTTCCAATTGCATCCTGCCATATGTCAAACGATGTGCCTTTTACAATTACCATACATAGCAAGTCATAAGAAGTTAACTATTTCCATGTTGTGGAACAATCAGGAGGACTTTTTGTTAATACCCTTCTATTTCCTTGCTGATTTAAAAATACTCATGAGATGCTAAAAAAAAAACAAACAGTTTTTTTTTCCTTCCAAAAGTCAAATCAGATAGGAAATCAGGAATCCCCACTTTCAACACAGAATTGTTCCCATTTACACGCCTTCTAGAAGGTTGTGCATAAAGTAACAAGAAAACACCCACCTTTCTGAAAGGTGCTCAGCAGACGATCTCTACATTGTCTTTAATCTTAGCTTTCCTCATTTCCCCTTCCCTCCTGGCCTCTCCCAAATTCATTTTTAGCATTATCAGGTCTTATGCCACTATCAGTTGATTTCAAAAGGAGAGAATAAATACGAGTTATTTCTTCAACAAATAAAAGTTATTTCAAACATTGTGTAGGGCCATGTCAACTCAAAAACAAAATCCTGCTTGGGGACAGTTCCACAACTTTAAAGAATGGCGACGTGCTTCAGAGTACCCCAGCAAAGACTGGAGCACCAGGTCACAGTATTCCTAAAGCACTATAATATTAAAGTGGTTTACAGACTGGCCATTCAGCAGGCTGGAGGAGATCATGAATCTCAGCTAAATCCTAAGCAGTGAAGCCATAAGCAGCTTGCTGCTGTGTACAAACAACCCTGGGACAAGGAGCAACTTAGTGCTGCTACCACCTTGACTTCACCACTCAAATGATGTCCAAGCCAAAAAGCAGGCTAGAGGTCCACCTTAAAAATCAGTTATGTGGTGAAGTGTTCATGGACAAAAAAAAACCCCACACCCAAAACTTTCACAGTATCTTAAATCATTTCTGTTTGCACGTCCCTTCCGTTACTTTCCTCTGAACATCCCACCACACAACCCTCCCACTATTTCATCCTTCTCACTTACATCACCGTAATTACAGCCCTGGCTGATCTCCTTTGTGCTGATCTCAAGATTCTTTCTTTGGTCTTGCCACCTACTCATTTCTGATTCTTCTCAGATAACAGAACGCTTGTCTCCTTCCCAGACCTCCCACCCTCCTTCCCCCTCTTCCTTGCACCACCCATACGAGTAAGAAAGCTAGTGTTTTCCTGTCTTCAAGAGCTCTTTGCGGCACTCACTGAAAGGCATTCCCAAACTTATTATCTCCATCCAGTAAAGACTACAACAGCTCTGCTGTGGGCCTGGTAAGATATTACGCTTGTAGGCAAAACATTCTTTGGATTAGACTTGCAAAGGGCAAGAGTCTTAACCTTCAGAAGTTTACTTTGAAGTCTGGCTGATTCAGGTTCCCTAAATCATTCTGTGCATTTACTTCCAGCTAGAGCACATCTGTACATCTCCAGTGGAGAGCATTCACTCAGCGCGCAACGTTTAGTGAGGCTGCCTACATGTGCATATATGGAGTCAACAGAACGCTCCCCCTTCAGTGGGAGAGGATACCTACTGTTCTCATACTCCGTCTTACAAATTGCATGAGGACAGAGAGCCGGGTATTACCAACAGTTTCTACACTGCTACAGAGCTTGAGGGGAAGGAAGAAAGGGGCGTAGAAGTAAAAGGGCAAAAGAGAAAACCCACATACTCAGAACATTCATCCTCTTCTATTTGAGCTCATCCTCTACTGAGGAAAATACAAACAGAGAAACTCCAACAAAAGTAGTTCAGTGTAGGCAAGACAGTCCTCCTTAGATTGTAAGGCATCCAAAAAACCAAACATCCCCTGGCCACTTGAACCTCAGTTGTGTTCCGATCCCAAACGGGTGCTCTGTATCTATTCAGGTAAAATTATGTGTGTTTTGCTTATTGGTACTGTGTTAACATCGAAGGGAAAAATACTCACAATAATCATGGACCTGGGCAACAAAGCCGAAATATCAATTACAAAACTCAATGTTAAAAGACTTGCTGGTTTTGTTTTTTTTAATAGGTATAATACTTATGGCCGTCACCGTAACTAACGATATGTTACAGCTACATTTGTTGTGTAGGCTACAGAACCCGAATGCTGCAGTCCACATCTAAAATCAGCATGACTCAGGCACATTGCAAAGTGTAAGACTGTCTGCTTGCCTGAAAAACTTTTGCTTAGCAGGAAGAAAAAAGAGCACGCGTTTTACCTTTTCATTTTACTCCAGCTTTAAAAAAACCGAAACAACACGAAGTCTTAAACCCAACCAAGTTTAGACTAACCAGCATTATGGTGTAACTACAGAAGAGGCTTGAATCATGCTGACTGACTGACGACTGACACACTGCCCAGAATGAAGGGAACTTGGCTTTCTCTGGCAGAAAGCCCGAGCAGAGCAGAGGGCCAACAGGCGGCCGCTTTGCTGACCACTCCGACTGCCAAGGGCACTCTTTTGGGGCCAAACAAGGCAGAAGGAGAGGGGATAAAGAGCCCATTTCTGTTATAATGCATAGGTGACTTTAGAAAGTGTTATTTTTTTGCATGGTTCCTGGAATTCTCAGGGATCTCCTGAGAGCAGTCTGGGTTAATTAGACAGTGTAGAAGCAACTATTATGTCAAACGAATTCCATTCCTCCCAGAAAACGAGGAAGAGGGGAAGAGAAGGACCAGCCTTCCAACACAAACACTGAGCAATATGAGGATCTCACTGTGGTACTGTGTGCACTCACAAGCAGATTAGATGGTGTTTTATGGGATATGTGTAATCACTAGTCATTCCACCTTCACTGCAGACAGTACGATATGAAGAGAGAAAACACACTGGAAATACAACAACAAAAAAACCCCAACCCGCACCACATGTGAAATACCACTGTACAGTTGAGGGAGAAATTCTTGGTACAACTGAAACACAGTCCCCTTTTCTTAGCAGATGTTTTGTTAGTATACAGGTGAATAAATTTTAAAAACATGTACCCAGCCAGCCAGCATCTTGTAGATGTCAGCACATAAAACGTACTCCGAAGCCAGTGTCTAACCTGCTCTCATGAACTGTGACAATCCGCTGGCTGGGAGGGTTTGCACTGCTTAGTAAAGCCCTCCCTGTGCTTCACAGGCAGACTTGCAGCGAGTCAGTGAGGTATGGTCAATTTGAAAATATTATGGTTAAGAAGTGAAATGGTGAACACCTAATAGATAGCCGGTATAAAAACCATCAGTAGTCAAAGTAACATTAGCTTTGGGATATGATACTTCTGCAATTTTTGCTAAATTCATATTATTGCATAAAATTTATAAGAAAGCTTATTTTACAATTCAGTTTTATCATCAGGAAAGCTTTAGAGATGTTCTTACCATGCTTCAGATGTAGGCAGCTGTCATTCTGGGGCCTGTACCTGTAGAAGATTGTTTTCCTTTAACAAATTTCTGTTACAGAGTTTTTGCACATTCCAAATAAGTTTGTTTGCTACAGTATTACATGGATTTTTTTGGTGTGTTTTTGATTTTGTTGTTTGGTTTTTTTATGGTTCTTATACCAGCCATTTTTGTTGGGGAAAACAGGGTATTTCTTTGTATAGATTTTACAGGCAAAGGGAAGACCTCACTGATGCTTTTAGCCAACCTACTAGGCAGCTGTTAGTGTACACAGAAATGTAAAATACAGTGATTAAAAAAATACAGCAGCTACAAAAAGGTCAGAGTAAAGTTTCCAGTGTCCAATAATCCCACACAGTATTTGAGACATAGTTAAGTCTAAGGATGATACAACACTGATTGAGGAGAAAAGCAAAGGTAAAGCAGGACATTGCAGCAATGCGTAAGGTCAGCCAAAGATGATGATGCCGTCAGGACTGCTGCGCGGAAAGGCGTAAGGGAAAGGAGACGTATCGCGTACATTTTCACAAGCTTGCATTCAAAGCCAAGTATCTTAAAACATCCATCAGAAGCAAGTGTTAGAGAAAAGCATGTAAAAATTAAATAGCGCAAGCCCTGGTTTCTAAAATATACCCGAGGTGAATGGTAAGAGTTGGTCATGGCCTACCTGATGCTGATTCCTGCAACTTTTCTCTCTTCCTCTTCTTTTTCTTCCCCTGAAAAATAAGAAATTTTACCATATCATTACACGCACAGAACTTTTTGTTGTTGTTCCCCCACCTCACAGCATAGAAAAGAAAGCCATCTGGAGACTGAGAAAGCAGTTAGGAAAAACACAATTGTTTTTGGGGGTAGCTAAAACCTTTTCTAACCCACTTCCAACTGTTTCAATGGTAACAAGGTTTGCTTTCAGTATGTATGGAGAAACACACACGTGAGCAATATGCATTTTTATATCCACACAGAATTATAATTTCTGGCAGTTTTTCAACTAACGCTGGCAGCCACAAGCATCTAAAAGACTTCTCATGCTTAATAATCTGATGACACGTATGTTGATATCATAATTTATGGCTCTTACAAGAACTCTTCACACATTCAGATACTTACGCTGTCAATACATGGCAACAGCAGACAGGGTGTTGAAAGTACCTAGGCCGACCGTGACTTGTCGCCGGGGTGCAAACCGGCCAACTACAACTGTTCTGATAATGCTCGTACCTTTACCAAAGCCAAGTTTCTCCTGGCTGTGCCTGGAGAACGCGCCGTGCAACAAGCAAACAGCGGACTGCTGTACAGCAGAGCACCCTGAACATGACCGAGGTGCAGGACAGAAATGGACGCCCCAGCAGCTGTCTTTCTTGGACACCACACCGGCACCAGCATGCCGGCGCAGGCTCGTCCCGCCGACCCACACGCTCAGCCTTCTCCTGCACCCCATCTATGGAAAAGGCCAGAGTTCCCGCTTCCCACGGTCTTTCAGGAAACAAAAGGTCAGTTTAGACTCACAATTTTAGACCTCAGTCATCTTGCATCGCCCTAATTACCACTTCGATATTCCTCCATATGACTTCTCTTTATTGTCCTGTGTTGTCTTTCCGTTAGCTAGCTCTGCAGGGCCACGGTGAAGCTACGGCAGATGAATCTTAGTCCCCAGCCCGCTCTGGCAGCCTGGGCTCTTAAGCCCCTGCCCCTATTTTATCCTGAGGCTGGCAATGGGGCTGGGCAATGCCTTGTGAGCGAGCTCCCAAAGACGGGACCGAGACGAGAAGTTGGAAAGCAGGTTTCAAGGGCTCTGGGAAACTCACAGCGATACGCTTTATCACTTGGGCACCAAGGCAATACTCCTTTACGGAGGAAAGTGCATTAGTGCAGATGTTAACATGGAAAAATCACGGGAGGAAAACTACATTTTACACTCTATGGCAGGCTGACTTCAAGAGCTAGAAGATACTGACAGCTGATCTGGGATCCATCTATGAGATACCAGAAGCAGAGGAGCAGAAGGAAAAGGCCGGGCTGAAAACTAGTTGTCAGCATTCCCAAACGAGGTAGTTTCTGACAACTCCAGCACACACAAACACCAGCACATTATGAAAACACTGTGCTTCTCCTGACTATCACACAACTTTGCAGGACTACTTGGGGTGTCAGTAATAAAAACGTAATAAAGAGCACACAGTTATTGCCAACATTTGAATAGCCATGCTTAACATTTTCTTGACATTTCTGAAATCCTGAATAATAAGGCAAACCAAAATAGAAGAATTAAAACCAAGTAGTACATATTTTTTAATTGTACTGTTTTGTGAAATTCAGCGGTGTGAAACAGAAGAGTCACCCCTAAGTCACTTCTCTCAAAATACTGCAGTAATATCTGTGCTAAATGATTACAATTTCATTTTTGACTGCTCAAGTTAGAAAAAATGAAGAGAAAACAACAACAACAAAAGATGACATATACCTGAAAATGTTTCAGTGATAAACTGTGATCTACTATGATCACCTTCTCACCACCACTGCAACAAACGTGTGCATTACTGGAGAGGCAGAGAGAAGGACTGCAAGAGGAAGCTAGCAGAGTTCTCCATTGTAACATATAGGACTGGAGTATGTCAGAGCTGTACTTCCACACAGGATGGAGGTTGGAAGCACATCAAAGATAGAATTCATACGTGCCACCTTACACGCTCTGAATGTCTGTCAAGGCATTTAAGAAACCGCAGGTCCATTGCTTGCGCTGTATGGCAGTAGGCTGGGGCAAAACACATCAGGTTCTCAAAGTCAACATGACTGAGCATCACAGGACAATCATGAAGGCTGATGTCCAGTAAGCAGGAGCTGACAAGGCTCCAAACTGGTTTGATTTTCCAGCAAGTAAGTTCAAGACAATTGAAATCCCCTTGTTTTCAGGGAGTGTATCACTACGGTCCTATTTGTTCCCAGATATATTTCAAGACAGCTCTGTTGACTGAAGTCAAGAAATACTACTGTCCACCCAACACAGATGGAAAACTGAGCCAGATACAGCACATACACTTCGTATCACAGTAAATAGTGCCACAGCTGATGGGGGGACGCAAAGGAGCCCAGATCTCAGGCTAGGATCAGGATTGCAGCTTGCGAGTTTTATAACATATGACTACACTGACAGCTCATTGTAAGCACAAGAGTATAATTGTGCAGTGCAAGCTGTGCAACGTGCTATTAACATTTGTTTGATACTTGATTATAAAATAAGAGTAATTGTAAGAAAACTTAGCTTCACCAAACGGCATAAAAGCAGGATCTATTATGAAGTTTACTCACACAAATTTTGCGGGCTTTATTTCAGAGACAGACCATTCTGAATTACTTTCAGCTAAAGTTCAGTCTGCATTAAGACCTCTGGGCTTTCAGTTGTCTTGAGACACCTCTTTTATTCTCAGGTCTAAAGAAGAACTCTGGATAGCAAGTGGTTGAATAGAAAATTATGGAAAATTCACAGCTGTACAGTAGCACATAAGCTTTCAGACAGTACTGGCCATTATCTTAGAAAAAAAAGCTTTCCATGTTAATTTTTTCCCCTCAAAAACTGTGACCTTCGTAAGAAGCATCTCAGCAACAACAAAATCTCAAGTTTTCTGGATGTGTGAAGTGCAAACAAATATAAGGCTTAGGTTATATGTTTGTTCACCATCCCTCCATCCAGAACTTTCCACAAGTTAAAGAGAAAAAGAAGAAAGAAAAAGAAGTTAGGTAAAGGAAGTTAATTTAAAAAAAAAAAAAAAAAAAAAGCTTTCAAGTGAGTGACTTACATAGTTGTCTCTTGCAGACCAGCCTGGATAAAGCTGCATGTGTAGCTGCCTTTCTTTACGAGCTAGTTCATAATATTTCGCTTGTTCTTCACGGGAGAGAGCATGCCACTGCAAACAAAATAAACATAGCATTAGACTAGGAAATAATTCATACCTAGGCAACAGATGACATCAGCAATTCTATTTATGACTTTGATTCAGTCCTTCCCCACTGCAAAAATGAAATTCATTAGCAATTACAAGCACCCATGTTTATTAACCAACTTTCAGGCATTTGTCAGCTCTGTAACTGCCAAGTGCCTTGAGCAAGACAAAAATCATTTATGGAAACAGGGCTCACCAAATAATCTGCTCACAGAACCATGCTCTCCCAACACCACTTTAGAAAAAACACAACCAAAACAAAAAACCCCAAACAATCAAAAAACACCCTTCAGCTCCTGACAAAACAGAAAGGTTTTGTGCTGCTTTTAAAGGGCAGCGAGCTCCCCACCACAGAAGGGTACACCATCTTGTTTTTAAGCAGCAGCTACACATGGGTTTTCAATGCCAAGGCAGAGGGCTTTCTGGGCACCAGCAGGCTCCTGTTTCAAGATCAGCCTCTAAGGATTGAGCTTCAAGGTACCTGCTTTCTGATTTCTTCTTGTAATAGAAGAAAAGAATATGGCAACTGCAAAAAGCACCTAAAATACAGAAACCACAGAACTGCAGCCTTCCAAATTATGAGTTGACTTCTGTAGCCAAGTAGGGATAAACTTCCTGCTTTTATGTACTTTAAAAAAACCCAAACCAAAACAAAAACACCTCACAACCTGTACATTTGAAAAGGCATCAGCTGTATCAGTATCTAATAATTTTCTTGTTGAAACACCTATCATAGGCCTGAGCCTAAAGAGTAAAGACCTTTTATTTAGAATCAAGTTCCACTGCTGCAGCATTAGACATGTCTTCTTGTTTGACTTTGACAACACACATGGAGGAACAGGCTGGGGAGAAGAAGATATTAACAAACAAAAAAAAAAAAAAAAAGAAAAAAGACGGACATGAAATTACTAAGATACTCATGCAAGAATAATTTACAGAACTAGGATTTCAGATCAGATCACATTTGTATGATTTAATATGTCGTTTTGTTACACATCAGAAGATGCGCTTGTCTGGCTTGGCTTGGCAAGTTCGATGTGTTACTGAGAGCACAGCAGTTCAGCCTCTTTGCAACTTTCAAACTCCAGACGTGCATTCCAAAAGCAGAAGGCAGTGAACATTATGCCGAGGCGTCAGAGAGCGTAGCAGCATGCAAAGCGTCAGCTCCAAAGAACAGAGGTGGTTCCTGTTCTGGAGTGGCACAGGGTATACTAAATAGTGACCAGGATGACTGAACACAAAACATTTGATAATAATTAATCTCCAAGCAATTATACTGGATAACTCATGCGTTGTTTGTACCACAGTAAAAGTGGAATTTGAGGTACTTTCACAGAGAACAGTAACTTGAAAGAAGGAGTCCAAGCTGTGGAAAAAGCAGGCAATGGAGCACTGAGGCCTGATTCATTACCAAAATGGAGATAAGCAAGCCACTGCCCTCATTCAGGCCAAGAAAACAAGGCTGTCACACTAAGCAACTACAATCGATTACTGAGGGAGTGAGAATGAGAGACTTGCATGAAAAGGCAAGCGCCAAGGTGTCCTTTAAGAAGAGCTAACAAGAACATCAGAGAGAAGGCAGAAGGCTGCAGGAACCGGGACAAGTACCTATAGATTACTGCTCTGCTGGGCAGGGCGGAGAGAAGTCTTCATATTGTAAAAGAGAAGTAGTAGTTAAGGTCATGTTCTGACTTCCCACTTAAAAAGCACAGGGTTTTCAGAGAGTTGCAGTGCCTCTCAGTGCTGCCTTAGTCAGTGGTCAAGAAGAGGAGGTCACTGAACAAGAGGATTTGAATAATCCCTACTGTCAGATTGATACAAAAGTCATCCCTTTTCTAATTTCCCATACAGTCAAGGCCAAAATAGGCATTTACCTCTGCTGCTTTCCCTTGGAAGCGGAACACTGGCAGTGAACATGTATTTTGTAATTGTGGGTTGGACTGCATGTGTTTTTTCAGAGCATGGAAAGACCAAAACGTGCCTACAATGCCACAGAAGCAAACGGCTCTCAGCAAGGCTCTGGGACAACATATACTGGGATCATCAGTACTCGCCTGTTGACTTTAGAGACATTCAAAACTTGACTGGACAAGTCTCTGAGCAACCTGATGTAACTGGACCGGCTTTGAGCAGGTGTTGGACTAAACAACCTCCACAGGTCCCAACCTACATGACTTTACAATTGGACCACACTATATTCACTTTCGAGTTCCATCTCCACTGGCGTGCAGTGTTGATCTTTGAATGATCCCCTCCCACTCTGATGGACACCAGCCTAAGGGAGAACCCATAAGGTGATCTGAATGCTCCTGCAGTACGTGCATGAGGATATTTCATGTCTGAGGTGCCGACACCATGTCATGAGTAGAATAAACACCAATTTGATGATGTTGCTAATGCTGAAAAAAGAAAAATCAAGATACTGCTTTTATTTTTAGTTGCATGTTTTATCTTCTATAGCTAATTTGATAGTTGCACATTAGTTAGCACCTCAAGCAGAAAGTGAGCCATCACACCCAACTAAAGGGAAACACACAAATTAGCAGCACATGTGAGCACACACCCCCCCCTCCTGTACATACCCTTCTGCCAAGAATCTGGTTGATAGCTGCACTTTCTTTCAGAGTACACTCTGCTACAACGTTCGCTCTCATTTCTTTCATGTACAACATGAAAGCATTCAGAGGTTTCTTAATATGAGGTCTTTTTGGCTCTTGTTCTTTTCTCTGTTCATGCTGAGGCTTCCTAAAACGTGGTGGGGGAAAGGGAAAGGAGGGGGAAAAAAGCATCCATTTACCTTCAGCCTAAAAAAAACCCAATGGAAAATTACCAAACTGTGGTTACAGTAGCATTTAAGTAGTAAGAATGAGAATTTCAGTGGTCATGTCTCATCCACTTTCATATCTTTTCAGAGAACTGACTTAATTTAATAGTCAGGGAGGATGTCAGGTTGACATTCTTTAGCAAATAACATTTGATCTGTGAATCCACTCCAAATTCATCACTTGTCTCAATTCTCTTTCTGAATGGCTATCCATAGTACCCTAGAAGACCACTGCTACAGGCAGGAGGATAGCTCCTCATTCACTTCTGTCTTAGCCCTTTGGCCTTCAACTACTAAGCAAAAGGGCCACTTTTTACTAGTAATTTTGCAGATAAGACCTTTTCCAGCAGAAGTTTGTGAGTTCACACTCAAGCAACATCCACAGGTAGACAGGTCCATGATTATGTCTGAATCAAGATGACTGTTGCTGATAGCTAAAAAGTGCCGGACTGGAATGAGAAATGGCTTCATGTCTCACTACTCTTCCCAAACAGTAGTCCACATCTCCTGTTTTAGTTATAGGAGAAGAGTTCAAAGAGGACATGAAAGGCACTTTTTTTTTAAAAAAAACCAAAACCTCCTTGACTCTTCTTCAGATAGAGTTAGTTCTCAAACATTTAAAGATTAAGGGCTAGTGCAGAAAGGCAGACTCACACATGCATTAGCTCACTGTCGTTGTGCGGATGTTCTTGTTTTACTTGAGGTGTTACAATAGCTGGGTGAGGGATTCCAGTTGTGTGAGGGCCTGGAGGACCAGGAATCATGTGATGTGAAAACCTAAAAGAGAAAGCAAAGAAAGCTCTGTAACCCTACTGAAGACAGGCATCAAACATGTATGACAGCAGCGGGATGTCCCAAGAATACAAACGCTACGGAGCTTGCAATGGAAGACAATTCTTTAAGAGTGCATGAAAAATATTTGGCTAAGATTTGTGCATTGTAGCCCATTTATTCAAGAAAAAAAAAAAACCAAACAGACAAATCAGTCAACGTTTTTGTTGTAAAGAAGTTATTTTATTACCTTTCAGGCAAAAAGTTTTAGCAATGCACACAAGAAACATGTAATGGTTGTACTGTTGCACTGCCTAGCAATAAAAATACACATTTCTTAACCAAAAACTGTATTTCCACACCAAGATATAAACATTTTTAAAATATCCACCACCAGCCAATGCAAAGGAGGGAACTGCCATGCAGAAACAAATAAAATAAAAGAAGAGTCTTTTCAAGAAGATGGCTCTCTAAGGAATATCTTACTTTTCAAGGTACTTGAACTAAAAGATTTTTAACATCACTTCATCTAAACTCACTATCCTTCTCTCAAATACTTAAAATAAAAATAAACCAAAAAAATCCTGCATCCTCGAAGAAGGGGGGGAGGGGAGCAGAGAGACAGACTTTTCTCATAAATAAACCTTCCCTTCATTTGTACAAGAAGGAAAATGGAAAAGAAAATCAAAGCACCACTAACTCGATCATCCCACCCTACTAACCCAGGTCATCCTCAAGAAAAGCTGAGATGGATCTTGAAGGTGCTGAGCATTGCAAGCTCAGGCGCAGCAGAAAACCTGCATGCTTTATTTTGAACTGGTGGAAAGTACCGTTAACATCAAAAGCAAGCTCATGCTCCAAAGGTTTGCTGAATGAGTGCTGGTTAAGGAATCACATCCAGCCTCTCCTTTCTCCATTCCCTAGTCACCTTGCTTTTTTCCTTCATGCCATCGAAATAATGCAAACACAAAGCCCTGCAACCAAATCAGCTCATTTTATTAGGGGAGAAAGAATGGGTTTTCTTCCCAAACACCCTGACAGGCACATGCTTATCATTCCCCTGTAAAGTAGTGAAGGGACAGTGATAATCCAAAGGAGCCCACACAAATAGAGGCAAGAGGACCCACCACTTATCAAGTGGCCTGTCTTAAGTCCCTGTGCAAGACAATGTGTCTCCTACTACAAGTCACACAAAAAACCGCCCAGAACGGTATATTGCAACCTTGTGTACACCAAGCACAGGATGCAGAAGCTGTCTTTAGAGTGCAAAAGCAGAGGAGAGGAGGTCTGGAGTGTGTCATGGCCAAGTCTCAGCATCGCTTGCTTGCACTTAGACATAAAGACACAGTGCCTGATTCACACACCAGTACAAACACACTGTGCTGGCATCCCTTGCCATTAGTGGTTTTGGGCTATGAAATACCTACTTGCGAACAAGTTTCCACACAGAGTGATAACTAAATGATTCAAGACTAATTACCAACAACTTTGAAATTAGAACTAGAGAACGCAGACTAGAGTGACAATCCACCTGGTTGCATACTTGCATGAGCAAAACCCAAGGATGCACACTATATGTTGCATCTAGAAATGAACTAACGACTCATTTCAGATGAAACAGCTCAATTAATTGTTGACAATTCACCGGTGCTCCTAATTGTAATACTTCAGAGACTGCCAAGAAAATGCTGAATGAGACCAGTGTGGGATCCAGGCAAACTGTATATACACAAATATGTTAAATAAAAATGTACGCATAAGGTTTTAGCTGACTGAAAAGCAAGCAAAGGCAGACCAAGATGCAAGCAGAAGAGCAACTTGCCCTCTAATGCCAGCAGTTACTCCCCAGTCAGTCATTCACCTCCTACACCTACCTGGACATGGAAGGGTCGACTGAGAGTGAGGATGGATAGGGCTGCCTGAATCCACTCGAGATGGGATATACAGGCTGACCTTGCCTGAGGTCACAGAAGAAAGGAACCCATCAATCATACAATACGGTATTCAGTAGTTACTCTAGAGTTACAAGCACTTGATGGGAACTTAGTACTAGTCACAAAAAAAAAAAAAAAAAAAAGTAATGGGTAACACTTTCAAGATTTCTGCTGTATTCAAACCTAATGAATACTTGAACACTTTGGACTTTCTCCCTCGCTATTGAAAGATTCCCAATCTGGTTTCCACTGGGGAGGAAAACAGCACAACCAGCCTTCCTCCCCAAAGCACACGTGCACGCACACACATGCGTGCGCGCATGCATGCAGTCTATCTTTCTCCCTCTCTCACCTAGTTTTAAAAACACTGGAATCTGATTTGGTTAACTAGCTCTTAGGAAAGAGGCATTTTATTCCAAATAGTTCTACTGTAGATCAGTGCAAGAACACAGGACTGAATTGTCAAGCTAGAAAACCTTTTGAACAGTTTTATTAAGTCTTTGAAAACTCAGGACTCTTTTCCTTTGCATCTTCTATAGTGAGGTAGAAGTGGCCAGCTCTTCTGAGAAAGTAGAAGTGTATTTGATAAAAAAAACCCCACAACCACCTAAAAGCCACAAGCAACACAAGTGCATCTGAACTACTTAAAGTTCAAACCTTGCAAAGTAAAAGCAGCTTGTGTGAAATTCTTACCTCCTTTATACTCCCACATATACAGAGTATTTTGTCACCAGCCTGTCACTTGGACTCTTGTGTCATCATCACCACTGTGTTTTGGTTACTTTCAGTTAGTAATGGTTCAGGTCGTGACTACTACACCCTGAAGTAGCATGCTAAGGTAATGCAAACAAATACCAGTTCAGCCCAAATACGTAAACCAGCCCAGAAAGACCACCACACACCAATCCTATTCAGTTAACTTATTGACGGGCAGATCAGCTTTCAAAGGGGCGGGGGGGGAAGGATATTGGCCTTTGTATGGTTCAGAATACAGGTTTCACACTTGGAGTGCATTACTGGAAATGGGCAGTGAGTGCTCAAAGGGAAAAAAACAAAAAAAAGGGGGGGGAAGGCTTAGGAAGTGAGTGCTCAAGGGGAAAAAAAAAAAAAAAGGGGGAGGAAGTCTCAGTAGTGCTACTGCACAGAAGGCGGCTGGAAGCCGTATAGCATAAGGGATGGCTGGGTGCGTACTGCTGTCAGTGAGCGCTGCTGATGAACACATCCCCAAGCCTTGTAAGACTGGACCTTGTCTCTCCTCTTCTCTCTCTTTTCCCTCTTCCCTCCCCCCAGCCTCCGCATTGAGAGGCTATTCAAAAGAAATGATTGACCACATCTGGAAAACGAATGCCAGGAACTGCCTGGTGGTGGTGGAGGTGGGGAGTCAGCTGAGCAGCAATGAAGGGGGGGGTGGTGGTGGGGAAAGTCAGATACTTCCATATTTTAGTTTGGTATCCGATAATAATTTGTTCCAAAAAGGCATGTGGCACTTCTGGAAAGGTTTGCCAACAATATAGCATTTCACCATCTTCTGCTCCCTGTTTTCTACGCTTGTTGTCACCTGGGTCATGTTTCCCTCCCATAAACAATTAAAAAAAAAAAATCTGCATTGCTCATTGCATGGGCACAGATTGGCCAAGATACGGATTCTAAAATACTGAAATTGTTGCTGAGTTTCCTTATTCCTTGCTCCGACAGATCTGAGGACAAGTACCTATCTACCCCATGCAGACACAAAGCATCCTGCCAAATCGACTATTCTGAAAATACCACGTGTTTCCTCCAAAAGGAAAATGACACCCTGAATGGCAGAGAGAGACCCTGAGAGGGCTAGTATCAGCAAGAGCAGCAAAATCTCCCAGTGACGGAGGCTCCTCTCCATACAGAAACTGTGAAAAGCAGCAGACTACAAAAGTTTGTTGGCCATTTTGGTGCAGTTGCAAGATTCCCCCCCCTACACACACTCACACTTCAAAGTTCCTTCTTACCTCCCCTCCCCTCAGTAATTGCAATTTTGTTTATTAAAAATTTACATTTAATTCCTTGAGAACTGTTTTCTGCTATCTTTCCAAATGCCAAGAGCCACAAATCTGAGCCATACGAAATACACAGACTTCAAAGTGAAAGCTGCACTTCAATTTCTGTACGTGTTCAAAAACCAGATTCAATTCATTTAGAAGATCGACATTTTTTGATCTTTTCAACTAAAATAACACAGTAATTTCTTACTGCAGCGACATTCATATTTTGTAAATGCTGCGATTGATTCAACAACAGCAAATGGTGTGAACATGCATCTTTGTCTGCAAAGAATCTAAAAGATCTTACCAGCCAAGAGGTGGTGTTATCTGTCCAACCCCCCCTGGAGACAAGGGATAGAAGGTAGGGAGATCAGGAGCTGGAGGATGCCTAGACATGCCTGTTAAAGAGCACAGAAGAATGAATTACTTTCTCCTTAAAATACTACACGTGAGCTACAGATCACAGCTAACATGGCCAACGCTACAATGGAATTAGTGCTCTGGATAAGAAATAACCACCTTCATTAGTGTTAAAAGCAAAAGGCTACCCATGCACTTTAAAAATAATAAATAACTTGCACACAATACTGCAATTCAAAGGGAAATACTGGAAAAAAACCAAAGTGGAAGGAGGGAATAAATGTATGGGTAAGGACCTGCACAAGTTTAGATCTCCTGTAAGGCGTGTTAGGCAATACTGTCCTCTCAATGGTCTCACCAGACCCTATCGGATCCTGAGGACCTCTTCTAACCCAGCGTGAAACAAGAGGAAAATAAAGCGTTGTCAAAGAGGCTACACAGCAGAGCTATTAGATTAGGTAAATTGCTACTTGTACGTTTTTGTGGGTTCCCTTATGGATTCACAGATTTTGGAAACTTGCTACCACAGAGGATCAGTGGTTAATTAAGAATCATTTTCAGGCCTGTAATGGTCACACTTGATATGATTCATTTGGCTTCCAATTGTCACTCCAGCTCCAACTAAGCTCTTCATCAAGTTGACTCCTGTGGGCTCCAAGGTCAATCTGTTTTGCATTGGTAGTATTTCATGGAAAAATAAGAGTCCCATCAGAAATGATCCATCAGCTCACATTCCCCAGAATACAGAGTCCTACAACTGCAAGAATCACCTCAAGATTAAAGCTAATCCTCGTCCCTAAAGGGTCCACAGTCTCCATTCTTCACCTAAACCTCGTGCCCCCAGGAGACATGGAATTATAGTTGCAGAGGCCACAAAGACATCGGTTTATTTAAATGTGTTTGGGGAAGAGGCGGCTGAAGCAGAAGGAATTGTTAAGTCTACTTCACATGTTAAATCAGCTGCTTTAAAAGGGTATTAAATATTTATGTCATGACACTCCAAAGGTCCAAGACTGAGTGTGTGCTACCTTGAGACTTGGTTTATAGATTGATGTTACTGATTTATTTCCCTCACTCACGAGTTTGTATTTAAATCTTCTGAATTTAATTACAAGATTTGAAGAATATCTTTCAGGATTGTGCACAGCAAAGAATGGAAAACGATACTGATGGTGTTACTGTGTCAAAAAAGCTAAATTCTCAGACTTGGGACCACAACCTGAGGATCATATTTTTGACCAGTTGTCTTTTCAAAGGTGTAAAACAGTTGGTGGCTCACAGGAGAGGGAACACTTTATATTTATATATCCCAGGGTTTTTACGTGAGAGGGAAGAGAGTGAATGCTCTTTTAGGGCAGTTAAAAAAAA